AAGGGGTGGATGGAGTTGTAGAAGATTCACCACTAGTCCATGAAGTAATTGATTCCACTGAAGAAGAACGATAATGACTCCAGATATTATCAACAACCAAACCATTATTTTCAAAGTTTTCATTGTTTAATAAATTTTTGGCCATGCCTTCTGTTAAAATCTTGCTGGAGCTGGAAGGAGATTTCTTTATGACTTTATTAGTTTTAACTGACATAACGTCATCATTGCTGTCATTATTATTGGCAGCATTTTTTGGTTGTTTCTTTTTAGGGGCAAATTTGTAATTGGGATATTTAAGCCCGTGTTCAATTTTTAACAATTGAGCTTTTTCACGCCAAAAATTTTTGGTCTCTTCGGATTCTTTATTCCACTTTTCAGCCGCGACGACGCTGACATACTTATTATTCATTCCGGGGTTTTGTGAAAGGATCTCGTGTTGGATGTGTTCACGATAGGCCATGAAACAGTTTTTTGGTCTTGGAATATGACCATTTTGTTTACGTCTACGCCATGAACTATTGTTGCTACCATTAGATAATGCGGAGGTCTTTTGCTGTTGAATTTTTAAATTATCAGCAGCGGTAGCAGGTGAAATACGTTTTGTAGTGGCCAAAATGTTCACAGGTGACAAGTTTGAATCATCTCTAGGAACCAATAACACCTCATAACCTTTTGGAATATGGTATACTTCGAATTCTGATGGTTCATTATCATCGTTATCATATTCATTGTTGGATGGAGGAGCGGGGGCAATTTGACGAAGTTTTGATGGTGATGTGGATGTGGTGGTTGTTGTTGTAACGACAATTGGTGAAGGATTGAATAATGGTGAAGATGTTAATGATGATGACGATGATGATGATAATGATGATGATGATGATAATGATTGCGTATGTTCAAAAATTGGTGAAGTTGGTGTTGGTGTAGTTGAGACAGAGCATGATTCAAACAATGAATCTGATGATAGATTAGAAGGAATATGAGTATAAGACATTTTGAATATGCTTTTTAGTGGAATAAAGAATTTAGTTTTTTGTTATGAAGAAGAAGGAATTTTTATAACTCGTTGTTTATTTTTTCTATTTATTTTAAAAAAGAAAATAATTTTTATTAGAAAAGGAAAATGCAAATATAATTTTTGAAAAAAAAAACTTGTTCAACAAGAAAAGTAAATCGCAAAATTTAGACTGAAAAGAGAAAAAATTATTAATCATGTAATTTTATACAAAATTATTGGTTACACGAAATTAATTGATAAAATAATTAAATAATTAATATATTCTGTCCTGTCTGACATTTTAAGTAAATGTATTTTGGTAGATGTTATTTATTTATTATGTCCAACAAAAAAAAGTTATAAAATATAATTTATTTATATTTCAATTAATTTAACAACTAATTAAATATTCCTATTCATTTCTTCAGAATTCTTTGTCTTTTTTGAATTTCAAAAATTCAAACGTGCGAAAAAAATATCAAAAACAGTTTTATTCAGAAATTACCAAATATTATCATTATAATAATTAGACGGCATATTACGTATTACCATATACTATCTTGTTAATATTAATGAAAATCTTTTAAAAGTTAAAATGTTTCTCCACTTTAAATTGTCCATGTGGTAAATAAAACTGTAAAAGTAAAACAAACAATATCGCCATTAACTTATTAAATGTTAATAACAGGTCCAATCAGGTTTTATTTATTTAGATAATAATGTTAAACGAATTTCCAAGTGTTACAAGCTCTGCCATTTCACTCGTTTAAATTGTTACACTTATTCGATCCCATCCATCTTACTATATCAAAGGCTAAAATTAGTATAATTGGTATGATTATTCAATATTGATTTACTTTTTTTCCACATAGAATAAAAAATAAACACAAATCTAACGCAATAAAAATCGAAAAATAAACTGTACAGCTTAATACATTTAATCATCAGTATTACGTTAATTTTTAAACTTTTGTGTAAATAATCCAATTCTCATCTTCTAATCAATCTTCTCGTTCGTAATATTTTACCCAACCATTCATTTATTCAACCTTTAAAAATCATTTTCCCTTGCCTGTGCTTCGTTTTGCAGCAAAAACAATAATTTTTAACAACGTAAACGTCTTTGTATTTGATGGTAAAACCCCAAGAAAAAACATCAGCACAAATGTATTATGTTTTATGTTTTGCAATTATTATTATTATGATGTTAAACTGATTCATGATTTGATTATAATAAGATTTGATCAGTTAATTAAGTCTCGACCCTGCGAAATAGTTAATCCGATCAAAATTGATTTTTTTGTGTGTATCATAAACACAAACCAACAATTTTAATTTTCTATTGTTACATTCATTGTTTGATTGGTTTTTAAACAATTATCAATAAATGAATGGAGTGAAATTCTAATATTCTAACGTTCCAATAATTCTATTGAACACGACCAGTTAGACAGGTGTCTATTATTATCAATCGTGTCAAATCAATAACAAAGGTTTTTTTCATTCTTTGATAAAAATACCTAAATTAATCTTTTATCGTTAAAAATACGCTTGAAACAATGACGATTACTTTCTAAAAATAATAATAAAAATTAAAAATAAAATTAAAACAATAAAAAATAAAATAATTGAAACCTATTCATTTACAAATTGACCATTGAATAGTAGTATCAGCTAACTAACTAACCTTTCTTCCTTTCTTTCTTTATCCACTTCACACGCTCTATCTATAGATTCGCGTGGTGTTTTTTTGCAACATCTAAAATAAATTTTAAGTTACGCGAGGGAAAAGTTTTTACAAGAATTAATAGTGTGAAAATGAATTAATAATAATACGATATTGTTTATTTTCTCGTAACATTTTTTTTTCATTCATACCAAAAGAAGTTAATTTTTTTTTTTTTTTTTTGAAAATAACACGCATCAGTATATGAATATGAATAAACCATCTCACGCATACGCATACGTATTTCCATTTTAAGTTTTTCATATTTACAATTACTTTTTTCTTTTTTTGTTATTATCCGCATTGATTGAGTAAATGGTAATAGACGGTAATAAATAAATAGTAAATAATCATAATTCCTGATTTCTATGACATGGCAAGCTCGGTTTATATATCATATATATATTTCTAAGTGTCGGTATTAGTTTTTTATATTAAATTGTGATGTTTTATTGTTTACTTTATAGATAAAAAAATCAAACCGTTGCCAAAACAAAGTACGGGAAGTTCCAGTCTCGCCACTTATCCATTGATTTCAGTACTAATACATGTCCAAGCATTAAACAGATTTTAAAAATCAATTTAATTCCACCGCTTACTTTTTTTAATGGATGTACTTTATCCATCAAGAATTTTCATGTCTATGAAAAGAATTATACCGGGAAAAGACGGAAATATTTTGATGCTTTCGTTGACAACCGGGTCTGCAACGTTTTTGTTACTTGATGTCTTTAATTTGTTGTCTATGACGATTTCACCTTGATACAACTATAACCTCAATATAAGCATCAAATTTTTTAATTTGACGATTTAAAAAATAAATTTTTTGCATATGGAAGCCCAATAAATATTACTCTCGTATAGATTAACTTTATCATTCATATATCTTCGATTTTCATAAGAACTACAACATTCAAATCATATTTGATTAAAGATTTGTTTACCAAATCCATCGTCAATTTTATAGTATAATAATCAATCATAGATAGAATTTACTGATTTGTACGTACATCAATCGATGATTGCATTTTGCACTTTTTCAAAATTGCACAATTACAAATAATAATCTTTTGATTTCTTTGTCAGAGGAAAATTTTTATGATTGAAGTGGTTTGAATAGTTGTCTTTTTAACTTCATGGAATCACCGTCATTCCATCAGCACTTGGAGAAATTCCCCCATTTAAAAAAAAATCTATCTCTATACAGCAATTTTTAAACATTTGCAAAAATACGTAAGCGTAAATAATTTAAATTTATTATATATGTATATATATATTTATAAGATTATTTCCATTAATTTTAATAATTCTGAAAAGTTAGTGGAAAAAATCGATATTCGGGAGTGGTGTAAATATATCTCTATTAAGTTAATAGAGGATATAAACGATTTTCGCACCACTTGTATAATAAACTATTGATTCTAAATAAATTAATATATAGCAATTTTCTGATTATGAATGTAATCTTTAATTGGTTGTGCCAAATTATAATCACTTTCATTGTTAATAAGAGCATAGGTGATATAATTTTAATGCTTGTGTGTCTTTACTAGTATGCGCTATAACTTATTATCGTTGTTGAATAAACTTTTGTTATAAATGATTAGTCATTTTAAGATTATTCTAGTCGCCTATTAACTTTTCAATTCTCCAAAATTTAAAATCGTTTTTTGAAAAATCAAAATTTTTTCATACAATGCTGTTGGTTGTTAAAAGGACACAACATGGATAACAATCCATTCTCTTCTGCTGATAATATTAAAATATTAATTAATTGTTTATTGGTAGAAGTTAAGTCTTTGTTGTTAACAATATACTATGCAAAGAGTAAATTTATTCTAAAGAATTTTTAATTGACAATCTGTCTAGATAAATCAAACAATTTTATTATACTGCATATTAGGTTTGCTGTCCGAAACTAAACTCCAAACTTGAAAACAGAAACAGTTTCAGAGCTTAAAATGGTCTCGGAGGTTTGAAATTGTTTCAATGGTTTCGGAGGTTTGAAATAGTTTTGGAGTTTCGAACAGCAAGTCTACCGCGAAGTTATTTTATTAGGATACAAAAAAAACGCACACATCAAGTTCTCAATTATATTAGGCTCTGAATATTGCGTATATAAAATTTACATTCCTACTAATATTAAATATAGAGACATTCGACGTAACAATTTTTAAAAGATCTCTTATTTTCCCGATATGAAAGGAAACTAAAATGATGGATGTTACACTTGAATTTATCAGGTGATTATATATAAATGGTAACACAGGACCCTGCATGGCATGGACAACTCGAATTTTGACTTCAAATTATATGAAAATACAAATGCATCCCTCTTTAACTACACAAGGAACTCCTGTACCTGGAATTGGAAAAAAAAATTTTTTTTTAACGTAATGTATGAAAGATATTCTAATTTGTTAAATAAGAATGGAGGTGCCCGGAGTTTTTACAATACGTTGCATAATATATAATTAAATTTCAGCACCACATATACATTCTATCAATTTTGGGTTTTTAATTCATGCACAATGAGCAAATGTATTTCCAATCCATCGATGATAATATATTAAAGAGAAACCAATAATTAAAAAACTTTATAAAAAAATCAATATTTTTAATCACATGACCTCTATATCGATCGATCATATTAAATATTAATATATTATAATAAGCCCACACAATTCCGACATGTTGATTGGTTCTGGTAATGCCTCTTGAGTTTTCTGTTTTGGAAATTATTAGTCGTCAATTTGTCGATTATATATGAAATACCTAATTTATGGATTCTGACATGAAACAACCGGATTCAATAGAAAATATACTTTCCAGATCAATTCAAGAAAAAAATTTGTATTTATCTGATTATCAGACTTTTTTAGAAATAATTCTTTGTTGATATACGATGACGATAATATTAACGAAGAATTTACTGTAATTTGTGCGACAATGTTTAAGGGTCATTATTATCTGAAATTTGCACCCCAATGAGAGTCTATTATTGAATATTTTTAACATGACTAGCAAAAAACGTACCTTTACAATTTTTAACAATAACGACAACGACAACGACAAAGTTTCTTCTTCCTCCTCTTCCTCCTCTCCTTCTTCTTCTAAAATAAAACAAAGCTCAAATAAAAAAATCAAATTTATTTCTTCTTCTCATAAAAAGCAAGAACGACAACAACATGCGCCAAATTGTGATGATATTAATTGTAAAGGTTGTGAAATTGGAGAAATAGAAATAGTATTTACTGGTGGTAGTGATAATGAAAAGGGTGACAATGGTGAAGTTGAACTAAAGCCATATCAACTTTTTCAATTAGCACAAGAAGAAGTAACAGCAACAACTTCTAAAGCAAATAGTGGTGGTGGTGGTGGTGGCGACGATAACGGTGAATATAATGAGATTGCCAAGAAACTTTTTGAAATGGCACTTGAAGGTTTTGATAAATTATTGTTGGAAAGTAAATTACAAGAAAAAAAGAAAAATGATGGCGGTGAATTGGTTGTGACGACCATGATGGATGAAATAGATCAAATTAAATATCAATACGCGTTGTGTTGTATTACTTTTGGTAATTATTTACCAATTGATAAAGAGATACAAAAGGGTGTAGATATGCTTAAAGAATTGGTTGAAGGAAAAGAAGGTGAAAGGAACGAAGATGAAAAGAATTCGGAGTTTTTTGAGAGTTGGCTTGCGCTTGGAAAAGGTCAAATATATTTGGTTTGTTGTACTCAACATATATCTATATATATACATAATTTAAAACAAAAATCAAGTAGTAACAATAAATAAAATTATTTAATTAATGGTTTCAGTCTAAATTACAAAGTTCTAAATTCGATGATGATAACGAACAAGAAAATTACACAATTTCTGAATCAGAGTTGAATTTATATTCTCAAGGAATAAAAGCTTTTGATCATGTAAGAATAATTTTAGAAATAAATATATCAAATTTATAAAAAATATAATATTTACATGTGTATTTTTTGAATATTAAGGGCCTTAAAATTATGAAGTCCAAAGATCCTAAAAAATTCATAGATTCATCTATCCAAATTGCAAAAATTTTATTGGAATATGGAACAACAATAAATCATGAAAGATTTAATGGTATTATTATTATTACTGCTATTATTGTTCTTTGATTTTTTTTTTCCCAAGATCTATCTAAAAAAAAATTTTTTCTCATAAAAAAAATATAGATCACGCAAAAATTGTTTTTACCAAATCTATATCATATCTTCAAAATGCTTTTGATTTAGATTCAGTACTTTTTGAAAAAGATGATTCTTCTCAAGAAATTTGGGGAAGTTGTTTATATAATTTGGTAAAATTAAAAAAAAATAGCGATGATTCAGACATTATTGAAAGTAGTAGTAATGATGATAACAATTGTTATTATTTGGTATATATAGTGTTTGATTGATTGATTAATTGATAAATCAATGAATATAAATAATGGTTATTTGATTAATAATTATAATAATCATCCTTGTTGTAGGAACAATTAGATAAAGCAATCAAAAAGCTATCTAGTTCAAAAGTTCCTTATGTTGAAATGGTATGTCATATCATTTTATTTTAATTTTTTATAAATAAAAAAACGAATGAATAAATTTAATTTAAATCAATTTTAAAACATAAAATATAGCTTGGACAAGCATACCTATTAAAATCAACGTTGGAACATGATGATATAGAATGTAATCATGCATTTGAAAAGGGCATAGAATATTTGTTTAAAGCCTATGAACTTGATCCAGGTAATAAATTATCATATTATACATCTTTTTCTTATATTTTATAAGAATAAAATATTAATATATATATTTATAGGAAATGAAAATTTGAAAGAACAATTAATGGCTTTAGAAGAGGCCATAGAGGTGAAAGATGAAGATGAAGATGATGACGATGAAGATGACGATGAAGATGAAGATGAAAATGAAGATGAAAATGAAGGTGAAGGCGAAGGCGAAGATGCCGATGAAGATGATAATGAAGAAGATGGTGATTGTCACATATAATAAAAATCCTATTATTCATTTTCTTTTTTGAAAAAAATAATAAATTTATTTATAATACGTATATATATATGTGTGTTCGTTAAAGCTTCGTCGCTATATATACACATAGAATTTCATATTTAAAGTGATTATAAAAAGAATAAAACATTTGATTTTATTTGAAAATAAAGCGTAATAATTTATGTATTAATATGATCATCAATGAAAAATATATTTATAATAAAAGTAGTTGTTGTCTGTTCTCGTAATAATAATAATAATATTAATAATAACAATAAATAAATAACCAAAAAAAAAAAGATTTAATAATAATAGCAATGATTTTTATTTACTACTAAAGATATTTAATAATTATATTTAAAAGAAAAATAAAGAAATAAAATTATTATTAAATATTGTCTCATGAAAACAATAGCAATAAAAAAATAATATTATATACGTACATAACCCGAGTTCTTCAAATATTCACCCAAATCTGCAACAACTTTATTAGCTCCTCCAGGTGCAGTTCCTTCAAGATAAGTTCCAACAATAATAGCTTTTGATGTTTTAAATATTACTACGCCATCACTTCCCTAATATTTCAAATATAAGTATAATATTTAATTTTACATATATATATATGTTAAACGATCAAATCGAAATTGATGTTTTTTTTCTTTACCTTTCTGCCAAGAATGTTATCATCACCAGCAGTAGTTGTTATATATTTGATATTATTACAATATATACCATTTGCTTGAATTTTATCAGCATTATCAAAAGCTGCTACGAGTGTACTAACTTCTTCAAGTGATAACTAGTATTAATAATTATAATAATATATTAAAAAAATAAATGCATTAATTAGACTTGATTGATTTTTGAAAAAAATGTATATTTGAAAGTTTGTGCTTTAGTAAAAGGCAACAATAAATTAGTTCAACAACATTTGGTACTCGGCATTATTAGTATAGGTAAATGGTGATAATAGTGATATAGTGATAATAATAAGTTGATAACAATAAATTGACAATTATCTGTGATAAAAAAAACTAACTAAATCATAATAATAACAAATACATACACTGAATCCTGGAGAAGTAGCCCACAAAGAATTATCATGTCCGTATATAGCAGCTTGAGCTATTTTACCTGTAGCTAACAATTGATTGTCAATGTATGATTGCCAAGACATTTTTATTATATATAAGAATTTAAAAAATTTAAAAAATAAATTATTTTTTTTCAATTAAAGGGCAGTGCTTGAAAAAAATTTATCAAATTCAGAAATTAATTGGTAATGATGATTGGCTATGTAAAGATATTATCATTATGTGTATGATGATGAGAATACATTTGGTGATGGATATGGTGATCACGAACATTATTATTATGCAAGTAATTAAATCATTTATTAAAGTTTTTTTTGTGGTTGGTTCATATACAGTGAAAAAATGAATTGATAATTTATTTAATCCTTTGATTGATTACATTTGATTATGGCGAATTTGTTCTTTGTTCTGCCATTTCATCTAATAATAATACATTTGAATCAAAACTATGATCAATTATTGAAAACATTGGATAAAATATCTTATGAAGTTTGGTAAATTCAATTGGAAACATTAAAATATTGCTGTGGGACTTCTATTTTAATAAATAATAAAGTTCCAAAGTTTATATTATAGCAAAATCGAGTCAGAATCGAAACCTATGATTATCAAGTCTATATGTATGTATATGGCACTTATATTTGTGAGATTTTGGAAAGTGTGATATATAGCATTTAAGGTAAATTGCTCAATATGGCATACCAGATAGTTCTAAAGTGGTTATTGATGTTGTTTATTAATGCTAATTGAAGAAGTTATTTTTATTGTTGAGAAATAGTAATAAATGGATGTTGATCAAAGATACTGATGAGGCGATTTATCTGGTGCACAAATCCCAAAATTATCTCATGAATAAGATATTACACAACTCCATAAAATTTTTCCATTATTAGTTATAGTATTTTCATAAACATTATATGTATATATACGTTTTGTAGTGCAATTGTTCTTCCGGCTTTTCCCTTCCTATTTGTAAATAAAAAATTACAGTAAATGTTAATAATAAAGTCACAAAGCTATATATATTATAATAATTATAATGTGAAATCAAAGTCAGATTCCGAAACCTATGATTGTCAAGTCTATATATAGACTTAATCTTAAATAGAGAAAAATTGAAGTTCTAAACATATGCGGGCTATTGATGTTGTAAATTAATTGAAAATTTAAAATGCTGGTTGAGAAATGGATGTTGATTAAAGATGTTGATGTGGTGATTGATTCTATGTGAAGGTGTATTTAAATGGTTGGCATATTAGGCTTAAACACAATTCCAATCAACATTAAGATATTAACACAACTCCATAAAATCATTAGTATTAAATGTATATATTCTTACCATATTATTTATTCTTCTGTTAATAAATCAATATGTTAAGGGTAGACTCCATTGTTACGCGTATGTTAGTTGCTGTTCGTGGGATTCAAAAAATTGCGACTAATACAAGTGCTTAACTAATAATTCTTCAGATTTATTAAATGTTAAAAGTGTGTATTCATTCATATTATAGAACAAATATTTTCTAACTGTTTAAATTTTTATTCTTTCCAAATTTGCTTAAATTGAAAACTTATGAAGAATCTAGAAAAAAAAAGTGAACAATTTATATTACAGATTTCCCAAATTGGAAATTGATCCTGGAAAAATACAGCTTTTTTTTTTGGTTTTCTTAATATTAAGGCTAATTAAGGTTGCTAACTTAAAATGAAAGATTGTTTTATAGAACTATCACATATTTTTTTCGAACCAAATTCACTTTATTACAGTATGTCTATAGGAACAATTCTTTAAACTAATAATCATTCATTAGTTATTCATGCTATTATTAATAATTATTAATTGAATTTTTTTTTCTTGGAAAATTTTCTGGTACAATTTCACATATCAATTCATAACTCTAATAACAACCAATCAGACCGCGAACCATTTAACTTAAAAGGTAAAACAAGTTGATGTTTATGCAGTTTTGTAAATCTCAATCGTAGAGTGAATGCAAGCCTTATTTTAAAAAAACAATTGATTTACAAATATAGAAAATCAACCATGGTTAACAATGTATTATCGTTGAATGGAAATTATTGACATTTAAAAACTAAACAATAAAAAATCTCTCATCAGAATTCCACTTTTCTTTTTCTCTAAAAACAAACACGACAATATCGATTAACATTATTTCATACAAAAATAATTCATTGATCCACATTAAAAACGAAACAGTACATACATTGATTATTGTACAAAATAACTCATTGATTTGTTTTCAAAATTTTATTTTTTATCCGTATCTTTTCATAATATCAAACAATGCCTGCTATATTGACCACAATTGCGTTTGTTAAATCTGTCAGTGGCTCTAACACTTTAAGTGGGATGATCACAAGTAGACTAGATGATTATGAATATGTAGATTTCCAATGCAAAGTATTCAATGTGAATGGATCATATCTAATTGAAGAAATTCGAAAGAATACCATCACGTTATTTGTGGGAAAATATGCATTTAATGAATCGCAATTATTGTATTATTTTTTATTTTGGTTAATTTCTTTGACGTTATTACCTTTAAGATAATGTGCGTGTTCGAGAGTTCGCATTGCATTCTTATTCGCAAACTTGTTCTTCAATTTAATCAAATGAATCTATGAATGTCATTAACATGGGATTTTCAAAACCTATTTTGGTAATTTTTACTTGATAGTCTGAATTTTATTGTATATATGAGATTTATTGTATGAGATACAACTAAAAATCAAAAAAGAGGAAATATGACCTTTTTCCTTATACAAATACCAAGATTTCAATTCACATTGAAGTCAAATCATTTCATAATTACATTCTTAAACCTTATTTGCATCAAAAGAAATCATGTAACAAAATTTTATTTTCGTATTCATATTATTTTCATGGTCAATGCTATTCCACATCAACTTCATAAAAGAACTACTGTTTTGGTAAATGTGTTAATACTTGGGGTCCAAACTGACGTAACAATTTCACCTGATCCTTTTGTTCTAGGGTATAATGTACATATTTTTATTTCTGGTAAATTGACAAGAGATATCACCAATGAATTCGACCTTACAATCGGATTTAATAATCCTATCGTTCCCTCTTTAGGCCTTATTGCACTGAAGATATCAAGTATCCAATTAAAGCAGGAACTATTAAATAGAACAACAGCCATTACCTGGGGATTATCTAACAGTAGATATATCGAGTCGTATTAACTCTTGAGACGAGATAGGCTGTCCAATGGCTAATGTCTCTTCCTCCTCTATCTAATAATACTGCTTTTGATGCATTACTTATTTTTTATAATTTCATTTTAATTAATTTTTTTATAGTTTACATCTACAAAGCAATAAAGTTTTGCTCTTATTGAGTTTTTTAATGTATCAATAAAGCTGCCCTGGTGATTGATAATTGTGTCAGGATGTCACGTATTTTTATGAGAAACTTATATTTTATATTTACATAAAAAATATTATTGATTATGCAATCCGAATTAGATTTATTGAAACAAGAAAATGCCAGTTTTGAGGCTGAAAACACCAAATTAAAACAAATTATAGAAGAACTTTCTAATAATCGAGAATACAAAACTAAACAAATCATAAAGCAAAATCAGACCACTAATGATACTCTACAGTCTTCATTATCTACAGAATTATTAGTAACTCCACCACTGCTTGTTCACCACCTATTAAAAGTTATTATTCTAAAGAGGATAATAACACTAACTTTATAAATATAGAGCAGGCACAAGCATCATTTCTCCAGAATAAACCTTGATATATGTCAGGATTTGAAAACTTAATGCTCTGCATCACTTATCCATACAGAGACTAAATCATTAGAAGATAAAGAGGTTGATGATGATTCATTGGAGGCCTGTAATTTTGCAGAGTCAGAATATAAGAAAAGGATCGGTAATGAGATAAGGTGAAGGAACAGAGAAGGAAACTTAAATCTGAAAAAATATCTTTAACATCTCTGGATCAATTATTGCAGGCTTCGGAAAAGTAACTACCCCTTCGCCAGTTAATCATAAAATATCTTATAGCCAGAAAATAGAGCAAGGTATAATTCAAGAAGTAGTCCTGTTTATTCAAAAAGAAAAATTGCTTATCTTATCAACTAATATTCCCGGAACTCAAGATAGCAATATAGAAGTAAATGATGATGAAGATGGACAAACACATATTCAACCTCCTCCTGAGTTTCTACTATGTTTCCGGCTTCGAATGGGTCCCTGCTGTCATCAAGAAATTTGATTGCACTTCCGATGTATGTTAATGCTTTATCAATATATGTAATATATGTGGCTTTGTGACTACTTTTATTTCTGCATCGTTATCCATAGCTCCATCTCATTCTGCTGACATTACCCACTTCATTCACAACTGATAATTACTTTTATTTGTGCTTTTTATTTCTGCCTTATTATCCATATATCCACTTCATACTGCTGACATTCTCGCTGTGCCCAATAAATATTAACTGCATTTGATTCCTGTATATGGTTTATAAATAATTAGTCAATGTATTATCAAGTTGATATAAAATTTGGGCCTCAGGCATCTAAATAGACCAGATTGACAAAGGGATCGATATACACGAGCAAATAAGTTCCTATTTATAACAACATAAAAATTGGAAAAGAAGTTATACAAGTATTGTATCAATTTTATTACCTAAAAAAAAATAACTTTAATTAATCAACGTTATTTAAATCACAGTTCGCCCGGTTGTAAAAGAATTAGAATGGATGCTTGCTTACCCAAATGCCAAAAGGGAACTATTGGCGTCATGGCAGGTCCTTTGATGAACAGGTTTGCGCCTAGTGCATTAGAAGTAGTCAGTACAACGATATATGATATGATCCTCACGGATAAGAGGAATTTATGTATAGATTTAATAGATGTTGTCATTAGTCAATCATATAGATTCGATTTTTCTTACAAATAATTTTTGTTTCTTTCTTTCAACTATTTTATTTTTTACTTTTATATTTTTTTTATAAATATTTTTTGCTCTAAATATACATGAAAGATAAGCTAATTAATTGCTACAAATTGATGTTATTTGCCTCTCTAGATATCTTCATGCACAAAGTAAAGTTTGAAGAAATAAAAATAAGCCGGTTAGCTAATTGTTATACACAACGAGTGCAATCGAATCAATATTATTTGCCTCTAGATATCTTCATAATTGAATATTGCCTTTATACCCCATGTGTTCCTATGTTATATGAAGAAATTATAATGTTTCATTACTTTAGACTGCCTTTATTAACATCCACGTAAACCAATTGATAATTATTATAATATCTAATTGCCAAATGTTTATTACCTAATAAATAAACATATATAAAACTTTTCAATTAGCAAATACCTTTAATTATAAAATAATAATTAAAATTAAATCTGCGTTTCTGTAAAAATAATATTTTTTTATTCTTTTATAATAAAGTCAGTGTATTCAATTTTTCATTTTAGAATATTTGCTCTTCTCTTATATTTCTTGATGTAATGCTATTAAAACAGTTTCTGTAAGTCTCTCTAAAACTTATTGACCAACACCCTCAACATTATTTGATCCTGAAGTTTTTCTTCAATGACCTGCATATAAAATATTGATCATGACCATTCATTATGAAAAATTTACAGTTAATATCATATCAAGACCTACCAAAAATCTTGATATAAATAGAAATTTAACTGTTCTTTTTCAGCATAATAGACATGCACTTCAATGAATTTATTTGGTAATTTTCCAATTTCTATTCTTTTTAGTTTCAGAATAGTAATTAGAGAAACCAGAAATGGAATCTAGCATATTAGTGCTGGAATGTCATAATCTGTAATTATGCCTTTAACTGAGTTGCAAAAGACATTTACTTTAGGATTAAAATTAGACAATTTCAGTATTAGCTTTTGTTGGTGCAGTGGAAGCAAGTCATTAATTGATGCAGTAGAAGTGTTGTTAGTTGGTTGCTCATTGGTTTTGAATTTTTTTTTTTTTTTTTTGGGTGAAATGAAAATATGGAATCTCCTTTGGAAAAAATTATAGTAAATTCGCAGAAAAATTACAAGAGGTTATAACAAAGTAAACTTACTACTGTATCTTGCTGTAAAAATTTTTTGTACGTTTTTAATTAGTATTGTGTGAATTTAGGGCCACTATTTTCTAAATATTGAAATTTGTTTTTTCAATGGATATATAATTTTGAATATAATTCGACAACTATTATATTATCATGATATTTCAACACATTTAAGATAACGATGAATGATGGGTCAGTAAATTGTAGAATTGCCTTGGATTATCAATGTATCTGAAACTCTGAATTTTTGGATCAATTAGAAAGCAAGGTGTTTTGATTTTTTAATTTAATGATTCACTATATAGAAAAAATTAGCAAACTAGACATGAAGGTTATATTTTGGATAACACGAAGATAAGATTGAAAATCATATACAGGTATCTCATCCATTAGTAAGTTTAGAACTTTTGTCATAGAACCTATTATTGTTTTAACATGAGTAAAATTTTTAGCCTTTAGCAGATTGAAGCAGGCAACTTTAAAACTGAAAGTCTTTGTTTTAATTCATCATCACAAAATCTGTTTGTTTGTACGCATACATAAAAATAAATTATAAATCACAAGTTATACAATTCGATGCCTTATGGATACTCCAATGATATGGTAACTCCTAATCCCGTGTATAGATAATTTGAAATTCATCAATCATATAACAAAATAACATTTGTCTTTTTGAAAGTGACGAGTGATTTAATTGATTGGACCCTTGTTATCATGATCATTGAACATGCATACATTTTGTTTACTCGGGGAATATTTAAAGTATTAAATATCTTAAAATATTAATCCGACTTCTTGGACCTAAAGGATATGATGCAGTAGAAAGCTCATGGCGGCAAAGAGGGTTGCGAATTTTCATTTTAGTCTTTTGTCTTTTCAAAGAGCTTTTTACTTGGCTGATGTGATCTATTTATTTTATTTATTATTTATTCATTAGTTTAATTTAAGCTAAATAATTAAGCTTTATAATATTTAATATTTGTCATCAGATGCGTTTAAATAAAGTTTATGCGAGTTAAATTTACAAATATTATTATAAATAAGACTTTTAAATTTAATTTTCTTCTTTCGGCCTCTTTCTCTTCTTTCCCGCATTCATTCCTCGCTCGTTATTCATCCTTTAACCAATTTCTAAATAGTATTTTCATTCTTTTTTTACTTTATTTTAATCTTTAACGATGGCTTCCAACCTTTCTCAATTCTCAACCTTTGTTGAAATTTCTCCTGCTATTTCAGATCAACAATGCCAAAGACAAAATTATTATGAAAAAAATCAAAATCAACAATCACCATCATTAAAATGTTGTTATTTCTTACATAATAGACATTGTTGTTATTGTTATTATTGTAGATATTCCGGACTTTGTTGTTATTGTGGTGTGATTTATTGTTCTTATTGTCGATATTGTTGCGGGTGTTGTAAGGATTTCTTCCGATCGATTTGTGTTTGTGACCATTGTGAGCATTGTAATAGTGGAATATTTGATATTTATAGTATTTATTATTTTAACCAAAAAAGGTGATTATTCTGATATTTATGTCGATTAATTACTATATAATGATTGTTTAATGGGATTTAACAAAAGCAAAAATCATCATCTTACAAAATCTATTAGTAATGATTCATCATCAATATATTCGACAAATTCATCCTTCTCATACAGAAACAGGAATTCTCATTATTATTACGCGCCACCACCACCAACACCATTAAGATCAAATTCTTATTGTAGAAATAATAATAATAATAATAAAAACAACAAAGAACAAAGTTATAACAATAACAACCATTACACTAATTATTATAACTATGATTTCAGTGATATTGACAGACTCTTTTGTTGTGGAGCTTTAAAAACTAGAATTATTAGAAATTAACATCCGGAGTGGTTGTTGGAACGAAACACTTGAAATTATGAAAAAAAAAGAGTAATTATTAATTATTTAAATAATAAAATTTGGGATCTATATTACACATATATTAATCGAACTTATTACTAGAACGCCCTTTAAGTCTACGTATATATCATACACTTTCACACACTCTCGTTTAAGACAATAATAATAAATAATTGCACAAATACATTATTAGCTTAATTAAAAAAACCGTATTTGTTAATGAATGGCATATAATTAAATATCTCTAGATAATATTTGGAGATCAAAAAATTGTAGGATTGACCAGAATTTTGATTCAAGTAGCGCCATGCATACAAATATTTACAAAATTCCCCGTATTTGGTTGTAATTAATCCATATTAATAATAGTACTAGTACAAACCCGAAAAAAAAAACTTGAAAAATAAATCTTATTGGAAATGCAACTCAATACCCGTGCTACAGCATATTGTGCTAAAAAAAACGACCAAAAAAGAATTCCTAGAATTTCTATTATTATTATTTAAATGTCAAAAAAAACCGTGGTTTTTAAAAAAAAAAAATTTAATTTTTTGTCAATTAATTAATTTAATTTAATTAATTAACGTGGTTTTCTTTATCATATTAGTTATTATAAAAAAAAAATCATCATCAATTATGGGGAAAGAAAAAATTATTAATCCATACAAATCTCAAAAATCTCATTTATTCAGAATTAAAGGTTCAGTTCTACTAAATGTTTTATCCTCCGCTATATTCATCACCGCATTTTCTGCTGTCATAGTTGTCCTATTTCAAATGAGTCCAGTAAAACTTGCAATACCTATTTCTTTAATTACTGTTCTTGGTCTAGTGGTTGGTCTATTACTTACCTATAGAACTAATACCGCTTATGATAGGTAAGATTAATTGATTAATGTATTGTGAAAATTGATTAATAGTTAATAATTTAAATAAAATAAAATATTCTCTTCTTCCATCCTCTCTTCCACCATATAAAATAGGTATTGGGAGGGGCGTAAATTGTGGTCCACTATGGTAACATCAATACGCAATCTCACAAGATGTATCTGGGTGCACATAGATGATGATAACGATGAGAATGTAAAATCGGAGAAAAAAGCCGCAATCAACTTATTAGCATCATTTGCAGTTGCAGTTAAACACGAGTTACGTGAAGAAAATGGTTGTCAATACCATGATCTTGTGCCCGTGATTCCCAGCAACATCTTATCTCAACTGACTGGGTATGTTAAAGACGGCGAAATAATTGAAATAAAAGGAAAAAAATTATCATTATGGGATCAATTCATGCATAGAACATATAAACCACATTTATCACATGATAAAGAAGTAACTTCAGATAGTAATATCCCATTGGAAATCAGCCTTTTCATATCAGCATATATTCACTACAATGCCAAAGAAAAAAAAATCGATAGCCCACTTGTCTCCAACATGCTTGCTAGTGTCAATGTTCTGGTGGATTGTTTATCACAGTTTGAAAGAGTGTTAAGAAGTCCAATACCACTTGCCTATTCTATTCATTTGGCACAGACTGTTTGGGTTTATTGTTTGTCATTGCCTTTCCAATTGGTGGGTCAGGCTAACTATGCTACTATTCCTATTGTATTCTTTGCTTCTATGGTGTTGATTGGTATTGAAAGAATAGGTGCTGAGATTGAGAATCCATTTGGTTATGACGAAAACGATCTACCGTTAGATGACTTTTGCAAGTAAGTAAAAGAAAGAAGTGAGACTAAAAGGGAAATGAGAAGTATTGAAGAGGGTGATGAGAATAGGAAAGAATTAAAATTAAAATTAATCAATAATATTTCTATTTTTTTTTTATTTAGACATATTAAAGATGAACTTGATGGAATCATTTCATCTTCGATTCGATATGAACCTCCGAGTCTGGATAGTTTGAAAGAAATCAAAAATGATGATTCTCGTATTGTTGATATAGAGTAAGTAGCCAATAGCTACGAATGGTGTGGTGTAATTGTTATCAAATTTGAAATTTAGATTTTGGGGTGGGGTGTTCTGGATACAAATTTTGATTGGCTAATTTGTATTTCATGCAAAATTTATTTTGATATAAAAAACAATAAAATACGATATTTCACCAATACATTTGTGTGTAATGGCGAATTGATTTGTTAGGTGACAATTTTGATCAAAAATTACTGATTTTTTTAGGTGATTCTTTATGCTTTAGAAATTTCAAAAAAATTTATTTAGCAGAGAAAATCTAAAAATGAATGTCTGTGGCTTAACATACTGAATAAATGTAACAATTTCAAGAAAGTAAACTAGGTATAAATTCATAAAATGAATGTTATATATATATATATATGCTTTTATCATAAATCAGCCTGGAACTCCCATTTATATGATTAATTATTCTACAGCTTGGGAGAACATATTAGTGACGCTGATAAAACAAACTTGCATTTTTTTGTACTGCTGTAGAAATTGGACAAAGATTCAAAGATGTCGAAAACTTTCTAATCTAGAATAATTGAAGCAAGCTATATAAACTCGATATCTCACATTAGAGGAGCTCTGGGAAAATTTATGTAAAACCTGAGTTCTCGAAGTTCCTTTACATATAAAATAAAGCACAAGAAACTTTTGTTAAATCAGGAAATTCAAGAACAGATGAACGACTGACCTTTAGATATCTGGTAGATAACATTTTCAATAATAGCTTACTAACGTTCATCAAACTTAAACTCAATGATTTTTACATATGGACCTGGTAAAATAAATGAAATTAAAATTTTAAAATTATAAATGTACTCAAAAGAGAAAAAATCAAATAAATGAAGAAGCTATTACCTACGATTCTAAAAATGATCATAAGCGTATTGTTGAATTTGGCGCAACAAATAAGATTCCTAATCATGATCACTGTTTAAAATGAAGGATACGTCACAACGCAAATGTTGGATTATTTATTGCTGTTGACATTGACTAACTATTGCTTTTCTCCATATTTACTTATATATGGTTTTGTTCTGTAAAGATTCTGAACTCAAAGTAAATTCCAAATACTTATTGCATATGGGAAACGCAAAAAAAAGAAGTTACCCGGAGGACTACAAAATGCGAGAGTATTTTTAAATGCTTTGGTCTCCTTACTTGTTTCTAAAGTTCCAAATAGTACTAAACCTGAATGCGTTATTATTTTTACAAAAAAACGCATGTATTTATGATGTTGATTAAAATATTTTTGGGAAATCTCAGGTCTTGTATTATTATTTTTTTGTATGGTCCCAGAATTATCTCATCAAAAAAAAAATTTTTTTTTTGCCCGAATTATGTATTTAAGGTCATGATGGTTAACTTTAAATACAACCCTGTTGTTGCTTAAAAGTATACATGGTGACTGGAGTGTGGGATGTGTACCTTCGATGAAGCACACGCATGACTAGACTTTTATCTCTGAAAAAACCTGCACAGAACTTATACAAGCGTTAAATGGATATTTGAAGTGATATACAACATTTGTTTGCAATATTCCTTGGAAAATACCTCTCGAAAAATTTATTGTTTGTCTGTATTTTTATTCCTATTTTCATTTAACAGTTTAGTAAAAGAAATTTCACGTAAAGCAAACCATTTACGAACTATAATATTATGTGAGTAAATATGCTTCGCATTACAAAATCAAGTTTTTTCTCTTTCTTAAAGTTAAAACCAATTCAATTCATTAAATATTCGGATTGATTGTTTGAAAAAAAATGCTTTAGTTTCGACAATATTAATTATCATTGTGATATACACATAAACATAATTCAAAAAGTCATTTATAAAAAATTTTTTTTATCTCTTCATCACTTCATTATTTCTTCTTTAATTGAAGAAAAAATAATAATTATCAAAAAAAAAAAACTTCCGTTTTTGTTTCTCTTTGCAAATTCAACTGGCAAATTCATCGGCGGAACCGCGAATTATAGAACAGACAGAGATGTTGAAAGTTATAGAGGCATTGCATTTAAAGATTTCCTTGGTGTCAATTAACTCGTGAATAATTTCAAGAAGCATTCGATTGTACTGTTTGTTGACAGGCATATATATGAAAATAATGAAGAATATGTACGTATGAAAAAATTTATATATGCATGCTCTAACAGTTCATAAGGCTCAGGGTTAACTTTACTACATTATGAACGTATTTGCAGAAAGTCAAATACATGTTGCAACAAGTCGATCTACTTTTCTAGATAAATTAGACATTTTGAACTTTGATTATTCCCAATTGAAGATCTCTAAGGCAACATAAAAGACTAGAAGCTATAAATATTGTAGGATTGCAGAATTTGAGACAACTATTAGAACGTTTATCCTTTCCATAATAACTATTAAAAAAAGGATGATGATCATTACTCAGTATTTTTTTCCTCTACATATCTTTTAAATTTATGTAAAGTTGTTCTTCTATGATTAAGATTAATAACAACAAAGAAAATAAAAAGTAAATTATGCTAAACTTTGACATCTAGGTGACTTGTCACATTTCTAAAACTTATTTGGCACATAAAACAAGTGCAACAGAAAATCAAATGGAAAAAAAAATAGAACTTAAATTGAAGAAAGGACCATCATCACTTAAAAGACCAAATTTCTTGAAGATTTTATTTGATCAAAAATATTGTTGTCAATAGAGATCACAAGATTTCATCAATATTCTTAATAAATTAAAAATTAAAAATTAAAATCCAGATGATGATGATTTAGAGATAAATGCATCATTAATAACTTTTTTTTTTTGGTGATTTTATTTGTTGTATATAAAAAATTTAGAAAAATATTTGCCATTTGCTCTTTGCTTATATAAATCTCAATTTAAAAGAATATTTTATTTTATTTTTTTGTCATTGCTACTCTTCCATTAACTTCTGATGTGATATATTCCATGACTTCAGATTTCAAAAGTTCTTTAACTGGATAATTTATTGACGCCTCATATGTGTATAAGATGAGTGAATCATTAATACACATGAATTGTCTATTTAATATACTTATGCAATTACAAACCCGTGCAATATTTTCTCTTGTTACCCTGTCAATTGGCTTTTTATAACAAATAGGTGGGATTAGTTGAAATTAATTTATTGATTTATTTTGTATCAATTGATATTAAATTTATATATATATATATTCTTACCTCATTTTCATTTGTATAAATTAATTCAGAATCAGATTCCTCCATGGTTTTATCTGAATGTTTACTTACCCAAATATAACCATTCATTCCTAGTGTCACATCTACTCCACAAGGTAATGTATGAAAATGTGTTTTACATCGTTGAACCAAAGCTTGTGGTACTATCATTAATGATCCATTTCGTAACTGAAATAATTTTATTTTTGTTATTATTAATTCTAATTCTAATTATATGTCTATTATTGGTTGTTTATGTTATGTTAGTTTTACCTTGCCATATTTTAAACTTCTTGTATGTAATGATGATGATCCATCTTGAAAAGATCCTTGTACTTCAGCCTTATCAAAATATAATATGTTATTTGAATAGTATTTAAATAAAAAAATAAAAAAGGAATCTTTTGAAAATGTTACCACTAATAATTCACCCTCTGAAAAAAATTTTCTGATTTGAAGTTCATCTGCTTCAGTTTTACGTCTCTAATAATAATAATTATATAAAGATATATTTTATGTGTTTGATCGATAATGATACAATAATAATAATATTATTATTATTAACATTTTTATTACCTGAACAGCACCTGGAAGATTTATAGCTGACAAAAGTAAGACTGCATCTTGCCTTGAATTTATGTCAACTTTCCATCTTTTATTAGATACCTAACAATGATAATATTTATCAATACTATGTAACAATTAATGCTACTTTCTAATAATAGTAATAAAGTAAAAATTTACCTCTGTTATTCTTCCAATTACCAAATCTCCAACATCACCAGTATACCTTTTTTTTTTTTTTTCAGATAATAATAATAATAATATGATATGATGATGATGATTTCTAATGATACTAATAATACTATCACCACTAACGTTACTATTGCAAAGTAAAAAATACCTTGAATGCAATGCTCGAACTGATATTAATTTATTGACACGTTCAACAACACCTGCAACTGAAGATAAACTCTCTCCGCTATCTGTAATAAAGGTACCATGACCTCTAATAATAAAATAATAAAAACCAATTTATATCTTTATAAATTATATATTAAGCAAATATGTCTACGGTTATATCATAAACCTCATAAATTGCGTTTCGTCTGTAATAAGTTGTCCGGGTGTAACAATGTGTACATTAACATCTCTCTCCATAATGCAGTTTATGTTATTTATATTTTTTAAATTTTTTAAATTTTTATCAAAAACGTGGTGCAACAACCCGACAATAAAATCACCTGATTTTGAAACCTTTCAACTCAACATAGACATTTTTCTTTTGGTTCATTAGGGTAAGCTCTAGAAAGTTATCGTCTGGCTCTTAGAAAATGTCTCTACACTGAGCTGAAAGGTTTCAAAGTTGGATGCTTCTATAAATCTTGCTAAAATCGAAACATATCTAGTGGAAGCGATCCTTCCAACTTTGGTATATCATATGATATATGTCATGTGAAATATTTTAGATGAAGTTGGTTCTGATTTTGAAAATTTCTTCCTTTGTCAAGCATCAAGTGGCCAGAACCTAATTATCTAAAATGTTATAGTTCTGGAAATTGATATATAGGGAAAAACATATTGCCAATGTTGCATGATTATTTGTAAAGCTTGGATATAGAACTTTAATCATACTACCAAGAGAATCAGTTCAACAATAAGGATGTTAGCCAAAATAATTTTTGAAAAAATCAATTTCAGCAAGCAATTCCAGATTTACAATATTCTTTATATCAATATACTTCTGACACTTTGAATATCATATAAATGAATGAAATTATTTATTATTTACAAGATTCTGCTGATCAAAAAAAATTTTTTTTATTTACTATATGATGTTCATTTTCGGATTGAATTGCTCACTTCTTGAAAATATGGCGTGTATGCATTCATACTACGTTTCCAACACAAAGGATGAAATCAAAGGTGCTTATCAAGAACTAAATGAAACAGAATTTGAACAAGTTGTAATTCAATCAAATCTACACTTTTCTGGTACTTTGACTGATGAAGAAGTAGATGAAAATAGTGATGATGATGATGGATCAGTAGAAGACAATGATAATGATGATGAGAGTGAAGAGCAATGGGCTGCATCTGAAATAAATCAATAAATGAATAGTTCGAATAAAATGAATAGTTCGAATAAAACGAATAGTTCGAATAATACATACGAATAAAACAAATAGTACGAATAAAACGAATAAACGAATAAAAAAGGTCGGCCAAACCCATTAATCATCATAAAGGATCATGAATCAACCAATCATTAATCGATTAGAGTCAAGGGCTAATTAAAGAATTAAGAACGCAAAAATTAACACGAAAATTCCAGTGACATTTGAATTTTATTTGTTACACTGCATTAAACAAAATCACGTGATATTCAGGTTAAGAGTTGTGCACTATAAAAGGAAAACAGAAAAAATTAATTTGAGAAATAGTAATGACAGTATAATAAGGAAATTAACAAGTAATGTAGCAACCGTGATTCTCATACGTCCACCACAATGAAAGGTGAACAAGTATACTTTTCTCTTGAACTTTTTAGAAATCGTTCTAGTTTAAACTTGGTGTTTTTTGTATAATATATCATTATTCATAACACCTGTACCAGCTGGCAACTATGATCACAAATTCCTGACTAAATAACAATGGCACTAGAGCTTGATATCCTAATGCTTCGCTTTACAATATTCCATTTTCCATACGTTTTAAGTCATCAGCAAGCAAATATTATACAAAATGTATTTCCCAGCTAATAAAATTATTATTAGTAATTAGAAGTGTAATACTATGTGTATATTTATAACATTTACAAGAATTTGATTATCATTCATTGGTTGCGATTCGACAAATTATTGTTTTGATCACGCCCCGTATTCAATATTAGTAAATTTGTTAATAAATCTGGTCCCAAATATTTGTTCAATGACTCTTTCCCAATTTTAATTTTATTAATAAACTCAAATAGGATTCTATCAGCATCACGAATCGATTGTTTTTTTTTATCTTTGATAATTTGGAAAAACTGGAAATGAAGTAATATACGCAGCTTTAATTAAAGCTTTAAAAAGAGAATCCATTAAACGTATGAAATTCCCATAAGTAACTTGAACATACCTCATCATCATCATCATTATCATTATTCAATTTATCTGATGAAATCTTGCCGTAGAAGCTAATGGATAAGCAGGCATACCAGTTGATAATTCAAAACCTGAGTCAGTTGTATAATTTTTTGTCCATTCTGTCAAATTAACAACAAAATTTTTGTTCGCCTCATGATTGAATTGCCAATATTCCATTGACTTGTTAAATGGTCATTGATTGATTATGGTACCGAGAGTATTAATAACAGCAACAAATTCTCATATTACATTTCCATGTCGAGTGATCATTATTAAATATCACACCATTGCTAATGTTATTTGATAATTAAAATCTTTTTAGCCTCTTTTGGATCAGATACAATTCGAATATATGTATCCAAATGTAAACTTCAAATACATTTCTTTGTGAAAAGATTTATTCTGATTGTATGCATATTGCGATAAATAAATGGTAATTATATGGTACCATTGAGAAAATTTTTACGAGTAAAGTATTTACAATAAAACCTCTTGACAAAAAACGTTAAACCATTCAAGACTTTTAATTGAAATGATCGACATATTTCATAGGAAAGTTGACACAAATGACATGAAAAGTTGTATTATATTAATTTTTTGTGTGCGTGCAGATAGAAAAAAAGGGTTTTTTTACTTTGGGGACATAAAAAGTGGTGTTTTGCGGCAAAGTCCACCGATTCATATTCATTTTTGAAAAGATCAAAAGATTTTTTTTTAATTCTCGAAAATTTATATGTAAAACATACTAATGCATATCAAGATCATATGGGGAAATTTTGAGCCAACCATGTCGTAATACACAAGTTTAAAAATCTAAAAAATTTTCTTTGTTATATATTATTACAAATGGTTTCATTTTGAAAATTGAGTCGCGCACTTGAATTAACAGGAATTGATCTGCATTTTCGAAAAAAAAATTTTGAATAGAAAAGCGAAAGAAGAAATGGTGGTTAGTCAATATAAAAATCCTTTTTAAAAAAAACTTCCTGCATTTTTTCCTTATGTAGAACTAGGGAAAAGTAAGGAGGAAAGCGGAAAAAGGTAAACAAAATTTAAAAACACAAAAAGTATAAAGGGTTAGCTAGCATACACCGATTTTTTTTTCACACGGTATTTTCCATAAAAAAATTATAAAGTGGTGAATATTTTTTAGTGAAAACCTAGTATTGTATTATTATTATTATTATTAGTATTATTATTAAATTACAAAAATTATGATGTTATATATGTATGTTGTATGTTATGTATGTATATATTTTACAAAATTACAAAATTATTAAAAATAAAAAAAAAAAGTAAAATTATGATGAATGTGAATGAATATGAATATGAATTGTAATAAATAAATTATAATTAATTTACAAAATAATTTAATAATATATAATAATAATAATTACACCAAGTCACTTCTTCAAATTCATTTACTATATAAATCCTCTTGACAAGGTTGTCATTCTTCACAACCTTCAATCCTCTTGCCTTTTCTTTGCTTTCTCTTTATACAACTCCTCTTGGATCATTTTTTTACTCAGGACATCTCCAAAGCCAAACTTCATTATTTTTTCACTTGATAATTCTTCCACACACAAAATTTTTCAAATGTATCTCATCATGTCACATCACTCATAATTTTCCTTCTTTTTTTCAACAACATAAAAAATATTTTGTGGAATTGGTCAATTTTGTCTTGTCTGTCTGTCTGTCTGTCTTTTCTAAGTTGTTTGTTTGTTTGTTTTTTCTTATTAATAATGATAATGATATAAATATATCAAAAATCAAAATCAAAAAATTGAAAGTTTCATAGATATAAAAAAAAATTCGAAATTATAAAATGTTGATTTGAAAAATAAAAAATAATGGATTGAAAAAATAATATTATCGAAATATATTTTTTTCCATTATTATTATTATTATTTCAAACAACAATAACAACAAAAAAAGTTTTTAAATCATTTTTTAACGAAAAAATAAAATAAAAAAACTTGTTCACGAAAAAATAAAATAAAAAAAAAAAACGATAAATAAAATACGAAAAAAATATTCAGGTTTTGCCAATTTAAAAATTTAAAAAAAAATTTGCCAATAATTTTTTAAACACGAATTCGGGGAAAAAAAAAAATAAATCATAAAAAAAAGATTATTTTTTCTTTAAAAAAAGAAAAAATAATAAAGAAAAAAAATAATCAATATTAATTGATTGTCAGTTTTTTGAAAGATAAGATGATTTTAGGTTTGCACGATATTTAAAGGATGAGGAATATAATACTATTATTAATCCCATGTTCCCTCTTTGAAAAGTATATCAAACATCTAAATAATAAAAAATTTTAAAGATTAATAAATACTTGTCACGAAGAATATTGGTCACACGAAAAATCAATAAAATATTTAAATAATTAATTACCATATCACCCATTAAGTCATAACCTTCTTGTGTAGGATGTACACCATCATGATCCCAAAATATTCTACGTTGTTCAGTAGTTAATGAATGCATTGGGAAGAATCTGTCAAGCAAGAAAAGGGTAAATGTATTTCTTGTTGTACTATTATTGTATACGCTAATAAAAAAGAACAAAGAAAAGAAAAGAACGGTTAAATGTCTTGTTCAATTATGTGAATACGTGAATACAAATGACATAATAATAATAGGCAATTATTAATAATCCTTACTTTAAATGTTCATTTACAATACGTCTTTGATAATCTAAATGATTTACAATATCCTATAATTTACAAAAAATATTAATATCACGAATTACCAAATAAAAAAATAATAAATAAATAAATAATATTAATTACCCAATCAAATTCAGGAATAGTGATACCAAGCACTCTAGCACCATGTTTTGAACATAATGTATACAATTTCTTTAAACCGTCAAAGATTTCCCATGCTGAATAACCATTTATTACATCATTTGTTCCACCTAGGATCACGACCCAATCATACCATTTTCCAGGTTGTTCAAGCTCATTTTTTAATCTTTCTTCCATCGATACCACACACTCACCAGGTACACCGCTGACTGTTACCTATAAATGTAGTGCAATATGTGTCAGAACTCTAATTAGGATTGGAATTATTAAAAATTATATAATTTTAATATTTATTATTTACCTCAACGTCTAAGCCTTCTTCTTCAAATCTTTTTTGTAAACGTAAACCATAAGGATAATATGATGCATAACCTTCAGAATTTTTCATCCAGCCTTTATTATCATTGTGATTATTGAGAAAAAATGTGATAATCAGAAAAGTTTCATATTTAAAAAAATTAATTTTGATTAATTAATTGATTTGATTGATAAAATTAAATATCATCAGATATATATTTTTCTCTCTCTCTCCCAAAGAAATATTTAAATACATACCAGCAGTTAGACTATCGCCAAATAGCAATACATTGTATCTTCTTCTTGGACTATGATCACTTTTAATTGTCGAAACAGAAGCATTTCTACGTTTCCTTAATACAGATTTTACAATTATTTGTTGTTGTTGTAGTCTAGTATTGCTGTTACTTTCTTCATCGTCTAATTTCTCTGAAACTTCTTGTTGATTACTATAACTTTTTTTTCTATTGTTATTACTACGTGTGTTAGTGCCGGTATTATTGTCACTTTCATAATAATTATTATTATTTCTATTATTGTTATATGAGCTATTACGAATATGTTGTTCTAAGATGGAGGCAACATCGTCGTCGTCGTCATCCAACAATATATGTTTGTTAGAATAACAACATAATGTATTTTTTATTTTTCTAAGTATTGCCATTTTTATTTTATTTTTAAAATTTTTTTTTGAAATTTTTATGGGAAATATTTATATTTATATTTATATATATATATATACATATATATATATATAATATATACTCTATGATAATAATAATTAATTAATTAGAGAGAATATAATTTTTGGGGAAAAAAGATAATTAAAAAAAATAAAAATAAGTTTTTTTAAAAAATTTTAAGGCCAGCAAACTAATATATTTATATTATATATTTGTAATATTATAATTAAAAAATTTGGTAGTGCTGTTGTTTATGAGAAGTAGTATTTATATTACATGTTTTTTTATGTCTGTGGTACTATCTGCTATATATGTGTATATATAATATGTATGTGAAATATAGATTTAATAATAATATATAATTAATTAATTAATTAATATTAAATGACTTTTGGCGTGATTTTTTTCTCTTTTCGTTCGTTTATTTTTTCGTTCAAAATTTTTTTTTGTTCTTTAACATTTTGTAAACTTTTTGGATTGTTAGAAAGAATTAATAATGTATGAATGAACTAAGAAGAAGATAATGATGTATTGGATAGATAATAATGTAATAATTGTTAAGCTGAAAGATTCAGGTGAATGTTGGCTAATTATTTTAATAATTGTGTATTATGATTAATTAGATTGTAATAATCAATTAGATTACTATTGTTGTTCCAATAAAGTATTAGGAAGAGACGGTGAGGAGACATTGGACCCGTGTGTGATTTGATTATTGGTCGAGTATGTGATTAGCAAATAAATTGTTAAAAATTATTTATTTAGGAGAAAAAAAAAATGCCTCTTTTGCGGGGAAAAAAGTGAAGGATTGCGTGAAGGCGGTAAAATCTTATTACATAACAATAATAAACGATGATGATGAAGGGTCCTCTAGGAATTTGATTGGTTGCAAATGATTAACTAATTAACTTGCTTTACTGTGATAGTTTTTTTCTTAGCTTAGGCTTCTTTTCTTGCTAGACGATCGATTAATTAATTGCCTAATTAGTCGATGGAAAGGGAAGTTTTGTGGTGAGAAATTTATATTTTTATATTTTTATATTTTTATATTTTTTTATTGAAAGTATTATTATTTCATATTGTGTGTATAATATACAAATTATTTATTTGTTGGAGAAAAAACGTGTTATCAACTTGATTTATTGATTTATTTTATTTTATTTTTTGAAATTTAGTTGTATGTGTGTAACATAAATATGGTGATGTGTGTATATATGTGATGATGGGATGGGAGAAGTTGGTTAATTTTCTACTGTTACACATTGTTAATCTGGTGACATGAAATGAAAAAAATGATTGATCGGAAAAAATGGCAAGTGTGAAGTTTACTTGCGAAATAAATCTTTACTTTGTTGATAAACAACAATTAATAATAATTTAATTCAATTGGTTATTTATTTATTTATTTTATTTATTATTACTTTCTATATTAATATTATTTGCAGAATTATCATATGAATAATAATTAATTTTTATTACTTTGGATGTTTTTTCCGATGTAATAATAAGCGAAAATCCAGTTATTCTATTCTGATAAATCTCACCAATTGAAATTATTAAGAAGTCGCGTTTCGATTGTTAAAATGAAAAAATTACGCGTTTTTATTAATTTGTTATAATGATTAATTTGTAATAATTACTCTTAATATATAACAATTTGGAAGTAGAACAATGAAAAATTTTCAAAATACACACAGATTAAGAAGTTGACATATTATTATTTATTATTTTTGAAAACTTTTTGTAGGGAGTAAAAGAAATTTTTTAAGATTCATTCATTAATAAAAAAGCTTATAAATAAATACGTAATATTACTTTATATATAAAATGAATTGAAGTTTTACCATTGTTTTTGATGCACTATCATGTATGTATGTATATACTGTATATACTGTATATACTGTATGTGTACATAGCAATAATATATAACATTATATTATTATTCTTGTTACATGACTTATTTTTTATATTATTTATTTAATGTAAATCTATTTTATTGTGTGAGTATGTGCATATATGGCTTAGAAAATGAAAAATTTACAAAATAAATTTATATATTATTTTGAATATTTTCAAGATTTACAAACTGCATTTGATTTGTATTAATTTTGATTTTGATATTATTTGATTTTGCGGGAGTGCGTGATCTAAAAGTAGATGATGATGGATGATGAAATTTCTAGAAAAAATTATTTAAATAGAATAGCTTAAATTAGTGAATTACGTAATATACTGTCTAATATTTATATATATATATAAAATAAATAGTTTTTTGAAATTTGTAGGTATTGTTAATCTAGTTAATTTGAGTTTTTGATATATAATATGAGTTTGATTAAATAGTGAGGTTTTATTTGAAAAGCCAACTAGTTAATCAGTAGCTTAGCAGATATAACCTAGTAGTTGTTATTTACCTCAAAAGTCTAATTAAAAGCTCAACAATAGCCAATTAGTTTTAGTTTTTTTTAGCAGCTAGCATTTTTGTATTCTGATTAATAACAATAATAATAATAATAATAATAACACATAAACCCAATATTAATACAATTACAATTGCTATAATTATCACATCATTCATACACACACAAAATTAGATTTATTTTTTATCTCTTTTTCCCCAAGTTTCATTCCAAATAAAAAAATTATGCAATGCAATTTTTGAAAATTCAAAGATGAATGTGAAAAAAAAATTTTTTTTTATTTGAATTGGCTGTTTTTTTTGTTGTTATTGTTTTTGCAGTTAGTGTTGTATTATATTTCATATTGGTGTTCATTCATTCATTCATTGATTCATTGATTCATTGATAAATTGATTGATAAATTCAAATTTTTTATAAAACCTTAAATTTGAAAAAATCAAATTTGAAAAATAATGGAATAAAATTGAAAATAATGAAAGAATATTAATTGTTTATATTTGTTTATTATTATTAATTGTTTATTAATCATCCATCATTTATTCATTATATTCATTTATCATTATTTTTAATTATTTATATTATTCCTTTATCATAACAATAAATAATAAATAAATAATGTAACAGATAAATAGATAAATATTAAAATAACGATTTTTTAATTTTTTTTTTTTTTTGATTTTTTTTTAATGATTTTCTCAGCCTCATATAATATATATAATTATCCACACCACCACAACATACATACATTGTTTCTTTCATATTATTATTCTGCATCATTTATAAATTCTTTACCACATTAATTCAGCTAATCTAACTAACTAACTAACTAACTAACCAAAGTCATGACTCGTGTAGATGAATTTTAACAAAATATATATGATTTAGTTAGTTGATTAACATTTTTTTTACCCATTTATCAATTGATTTTAAAAATGAAATCATATGTTCTCTTTTCCCTCTCCAGTCATGACATTATAATTTTAATCCTAATCCCAATATTTTTAGGTTTGATGCTGATAGAAAACTTTCAGCATGTGAAATGTGTGACACCATCTAAATTAAACAAAAATCTAAAATTTTATTTGAAGATCATAAAATAAATAAAATATAACTGATAATAATATAATGTAATATAATGTAGTCACTTGTACTCTCTCACAGGACTTCTTCATTCCATCATTCTATCGGTCACAATCCAATCCAATCCAATCCAATCCAATCCAATCCAATCCAATTTTAATCCAACAATCAATCACAAAGTACACAAAAATTTATCACACATAAACAAACATACATACAAAATTATCTATTGTTTTTCTGATGATGATAATAAATGTACGTAATACAATGGAACTTCTAAATGCTTTTTTAAAAAAAAGAAACTGTGCCACGTACGAGAAGAATTAATATCAAGGGCATAATTATTTGTAAATATCAATATTAGACCGGCTTTTTTTCCAATAATCTAAAAAAAGAAGTTAAATTTGAACTACTAATACTTATTTGGTGTTCTTTCCAAATAAACACTCCTTAGCTTTTCACACAAATTTATTTAGCTCCTTAGAATTAGGATTAGGACAAAAACTTCCAAGATTCTTTAAATATTGACCTTGTGTTACAATGTGTTAATATCCATAAATTAAAAATTCTGTAATCGATAAACAACAACAAATAATAATCAGCAACTTGTTTTTTACTTGCAATTATGATTAATAATAAAAACCGAGTTGAAAGAAAGAGGTTTCCCATTAAATGAAATAAAATTCCACCCCCACAAAAACACGAGCACCAAATCTAGATTTATTTGGTGTAATCGTTAGTATATATACAGCGTGTCCATTCATGAGAAACTGAGGATTGATGTTTTTTATATATTAGAAGTTACACAATAATGAAACATTTAACTTTAATTATTTTGCAACACAAAAATATCTCATGTTTTTAATAATTATTGGCCAAGAAGATAAAGATGTTGTCTTTTATTTAGTCCATATACACTCGCATTCCTTCGCACATACTCAACTACTCTTCACATACTACACATAATATTAATCACTGATTTCAAAAAGGAAAAAATTTAAAAAATTTTTTTTTAATTACTTTGCATATTTTCCCCCCACAGAATTAATTATTTAACCGAAATGCTACGATTACTACTACTATTGATGAAAGGATATTCCGAAAAACTACCGCACAGACATTACACAAGATTAGAGATCGTCGTACTCGTTTTATATTAATATTCTAAATCATTAAATTAATTATTCAGTTAACAAAAAATTTTATCATTTTATATTCTGTCAAAATTACCAATGTCAAATAAAAGTGGTTTAAGTTTGTTCTTTCCAGCTTGGCTAAATAATCTCTCGTCCGGAGTGGACGTTGTAGGTGCACACAAGTATGTAGTGGCTAACTTTGAAATCTATATTTATTATTATTATACCATAAGAATGTATCATCTTTCCATATCTGACTTGACTTTTTAGAAACCCCCCCCCCCCCTCATTATTTTATTATTACTTTCTCGTATTATAATGGTTGAAAACCCTTCTTCCATTTTAAATGAAATAATCAATTTAATTGATTAGAAATGAATAAACAGATGAATTAAACGGGGATTCATTTGGACATGAGAAAATTTCATTTGAGTTCAGTTATGCAAGGTATTGATTATTCATTGAATATTCACTTTTAAATTATTATATTTGGTCAATCAATCAATGAAAAAATCAAATATTAACCAAATGTTGCAACATCCAAGATCAATGCATGTACATTGATCGACATGACAATTATATATAGAATGTTATTTTGAGGACTTTGGTGTATCCATATCATACAATTTCTTTCGCCAAAGCAGTCTATCGTCGATGTTGAGTTGTTGTAGTTGTTATTGAGAACATTCTTTCTGTGTCAAGTTTAACTCATCTAGAAGAAGGTTTGTTTGTCATAGCCTTCAGACAAATATCCCCATAGATATGATAAATTTAAAGTAAACCCGAGTACGAACGACAAGCCATTAATAACAACTCACATATATGAAAATCATTTTATAGAATTCTGTCTGGATCTCTACGGTTTTTATTAGCAAAAGACAAAATAAACCAATCAGAAGATTTAGCTTGGTTTGGATCAATGAAAATGTTATTCTCATGATGACAAAAAAGTACGGTATATCATCACTAAAACAATACAGCTAATATTCAAAATAAAGAATTGGTAATACTCTGGGCTCGTCAAGACCGACAGGTTTTGACCTGGTACATGAAATACTAATATTAATATGTTACACTAATGATCCAATGAGCCGGTACCTGAGAATACCTAGAACCTCACCACTTGGCAATAAATAATTATTAGTGCTATTATCATCACTATATGAAATCCCCAATTCCAAGAAAAAGAATATACAGGTGCCCGCGTTGCTGACAATAGAGATGTTCAAAATAAATAATCAGCTGGAGATATTAATAAATAGTCTCGTTAAATATATAGCACAAGATAGGCAGATTAGCCTTAAAACGTTTTTTTAAAGCAAGTAAATTCTTATGATGAATCTCATTTTATATAATACAGCAGCCCACAAAGATTCAGAATCTAAGAAACTATTCATTTCAAATATATAAAAATAGATATAGATATAGTTGTTTAACGCATGATGAGATTAATTTTATTATTAGAACATCAATGGGTCATTAAAAGAAGAAATGTATGTTTATGATACTCTAGTTCATTTCTAACAACATCTGCACCTCTAAATAATATTCATGAAAGAATTGGTATAAATATGTAATAATAACAAAACTAAAGTTTTTTTTTTAAACATAATGGTGTTATTTGTCCAAGATTATTTTTTTTTTTTCGGTAAACTGATTCCACAGTGTAGGTGTATGTATATATAAGTTTCTGGGCGAAATTATTGGGATTTCGCGAAACGTCGAAACCTCGATTAGCAACAGTAACATTGAAACATCAAAACTACGCGAAACCAATCAGCCAATAAAAATCGGGAGATCATCTTTAACAATTTGTACAAACCAAGACTTGGTAGTAAAAAGGTTTGGTAGTAGTAAATGAAAAGCTTTTTTTTACTTGTCCTTCAAACAGAAGGCTTAGCATTGAGGTTGCTGAATGAAGCATATTTGGGATTTGAAACAATAATTAATCGAAATTAATCTATCTAGACGAATTTTACTTTAATCTAATCACTAATTCATGGCCGACTTTATTTCATAAATCAAATAATGTTATTAAAGATGACTTCAAGATTTCAATAAAATTTTTCTGACACCTCAATTTGAAAGCTACTTTAAAAATATATTAAATGCTTGAAATATTTTGTGCAAACTAATGACCAAAAAAAACTTGGAAATAAAACATTAAGGAAACTTTTAGTTTTTATCCATTACTCAAAAAATGCATCAGTTGGATTTCATCAGATGATCTGGATAATCCGTCATAGTCAGGTTGAACGGATTGAACGTAGAGGAAATGAATAATCATTTACTGAATAATTAATTTAATGACCAAATGAATATCTGAATATTTTGATTATTCGTCAAATGATTAGTAAAATTAATTCTGTGATCAGTGAATATTCATTGTTAACAATAAATTTTAAATCTATTAATCATTTACATTCTATCAAAACTATCAATATGTTTTTTCAAAAAACAATATTTTCAAATAAAAGCAAGTTCTTTTTAAGGTCATTGTATTTCGAATAAGTGTATAATACCGTTAGATATGGATTCATCATCAGAAGCTTCAGAGACATTGACTCGACAAATATCTCCTTTAGATTCTTTCTCCACCATCTTTTGCGATTTCAGTTTTTTCCATCAAGTTCCATATCCAACTTGACTTCTTAGAACCACCCTTTTCTTCAAAATATGAGCACAAGAAGGCTCTCATTATTCTATTATTACTTTATCCTATTATAGTGACTGAAGGCTCTTCTTTCATCTTAAATGAAATAATTAATTTAACTAATTAGAAATGAACAAACAGATGAATTTATTTGGACGCGATTTTCAAAATATTCACAGAATATTCAATGAATATTATTCATTGGGTGCAACCTCTAATTGGACGGATTATCCGTCGGATCTATATATGATAATGAAGTCGACATCAGACAATTTCGACTTTTGGATGGTAGAAATGAAAATAGGTTCGATTTTTTGATAAAATCTTAATAAAGCCGAAATAAGTCGAAATGTAATATATAATATAAATGATTAGATAGCAATGATTTTGGTCAAAAATAATTTCAACTTTTGATAATTATTAAAAATGAGACAGTCAAACTTCAAACTATAATTAGATTCGCGTTACAACGAATTTTTAAACGTATTAATATAAAATTCGTTGAAACGAGATTAGTAATTTTGGTATGTATATCGAATTTTCTTATTGTTGGTGTTATGACCATTAAGACCTTATCTGTTACAACCCGGCCCGGCAATCCGTTAATATCAATAGTAATCATAGTAATAGTAATAGTATATATTAATTATAATAGTAATTAATAGTAATAGCAATAATGTTAACGTTACAATCCAATAACAATAATAACACCCTTTTATTTTATAAAAATCACACAATATCTCGGATATTGGTGTTTAAATCTATCGATCATTTTCCTATATTATTATTCTGTTTAAAATATTTCTTTTCTCGTCGAGAAACATGGCTGTTTGCATAATGTAAGCGTGCATATGCACCAAAAACAGTTCTGGTTCTACTATATCCCACAAACGCAAGGACGATGAATTTCTGCGGCGAAAAAAAATCAAAATCTGCTTACTTCTGCGGCGTTTAAAATTGCAATTCTGCTTAATTCTGCTTAATCTTGTTTTATTTAAAAAATAAAAATAAACCCCTCCAATTAATTAAATAGAGTTATTATACATCATATTTAAAGTTTTTAAAGAAGTTTCTGAAAAATTTTGTCTATTGCTATCTAAATATTGTTTATATATTGAGAAACGTCTTTCTAAACTGCAACTAGATATCAGCAACCATAAGTATTCCAGAGCAATTTCAGAAAGAATTGGTAATTGATCTTGAATATTTATCCAATATTCATTTAAATCTATTTCATCAATTAAATCATCCATTTTCATTCCACAATAAATTGTCCATTCATTTAGTAATTCATTAGAAGGATTTTCTAATTCTTTGATTGATCTATATTGACATAAGTTTTTTCTTTCCAAAGGACCAAGTGAAATAAAAAGGGGATGAGCAGGATGTGAAGGAATATGTGCATTAAATTTGTTAAGAGCAGCTTCAAAAGCTACATGAAAATTAGGGTAAAAATCACTTGGATTAAAATTATGAGAAATTATAGTTACAGAACCAAAATCAGAAGAATTACAAAAATAGTAAGATATTCACCTTGCGTTACAAAAATAGAAAGATATCTAGCACCTAACCAATTTTAGATATAATTCTTCACGTTTTCTGCTTTTGATACATACTTCTGCGATTCCTGCGGTTTTCTGCTTAGCAGAAAGTCATCGTCCTTGTTAGGGTAGTATGACCTTTGGACTAATGATGTACAACGAAACTTTTGACTTTAGTCATTAACGTAGCTAAAGTATTGACTAAAGCTAGTTATCTCACCAGGGCTATTTTGACAATTTGATTAAAGTAAAAGCCCTTAACGTAATTAAAAACACTTGACGTAACTAAAACCACTTATTCCTTTGTATTAGCCCTGGTAATGATTGTGGAAAAAAATATTCAAATGGAAAGATCACCAAATTTTTATTATAATCTATTTTTTCAAAAAAATTCAACATGCATTCAACATTATATCTATTTTCTAACAAATCAACAAAAGATTACAACATATTGAAATGCGTCAAGAGGTTTGTTAGGTGGTATAAAAGCAAAACACAAATATCCCAATTCTTGATAAACCAACAAACGATCTTACACAACAACAACCACAAAAAAAGAAAAGGCCAAAGAAAGAACCAAAGGCAAAACCTCCATGGATGGTTATGCATCATTACAAACAAGCGATGAGTGGTTTATATGCAGGCGAAACAATTAAATTTGGTGATCAGGTTTCGAAATTTGGCAATAGATCTCGTCGCTCCTTTAAACCAAATGTCCAAAAAGTCAAATTATATTCTGTGGCTCTTGATGAACGTATAAGAATCAAGTGTATTACAACAGCTCTAAAACATATTGATTTAAAAGGTGGTTTGGATAGATATTTGTTGACAATGAAGGATGACAAGTTAGGTAAAAAAATGTATGATTTGAAACTTAAACACTTGAAGAAGAAAAGAAAAGGCTGCGGAATTAGATGGGTGATTATTGGATAGTGGTAACAATTAGGATGAAAGGATGCAATTAAAGCTTTGTTATAATTTGATTATAATAATTATTATTTATAATATAGAATTATTTCGAAAATAATAAAATTTATATTATATATATGTATATATAATATTTTTTCACATATCAATATTTATGCAAGATACATATTAATTTAGTAATCAATATTTAATCCAAAAAAAGAAGATCTACTACTGGTTGAAGATATCTGGAAAATACTAGTTTGGACCAATATATGTGTTGAATTGGGAGATTCCACAAGTTAACAGGATAGTTTAATATAAAAAGCATATTTAAAGTCCTTAGAATCAGTTTAATAAGTTCATCATACAGCATCTTCATGTTGTTTTTATTGAAAGATAACACTGCAAAATACTTAGCATAGAAATTGAATTATCCATGAATAATAAGAAAACAACAGTTGTTATTCAGTATGAGTTGATAATTCAACCAATTAACAACAAAATGTACCATAGGCATTTAACATGATAGAGAACCAGTATAATGTATCATATAACGCACACCCAATAATTATAACGTACTAAGGATTTGGAAAAAAAAGTTTCAGAAAAGAATAATCAAAAGAATAATATGTGAACAATATTAATTAAAACAACTAATCTTAAAAAAAAAAGGATTGTCCATCTCACCTCTTTTTAACAAAATGTACACTATAAAAGTGATTCTAGATGAAGACAAGTTTCTTCATAGATGCCTTGATATATGTATCGCATTTTCATGCCTAGGATGTCGATAGTATTGTCATACTCTGTAATTGTGGAACATATTAGATAGTTGATTTTTCGATTGCGAGTATTGAAACTATTCGTTAGCAGTAGAAGAAATAACGATCAAGATCAATGGTAAATACGATCCGTGAGCAAATTTAGTTAGAAAGGAGATAATTAGAGGGTGAGTATATTCATTAAATTGGTAAAAGTTCATTCTATCAAATTGAATTCCTGAAATAATGATTATAGGTATTTTGATCATGATTTTAACAACCTCCCTAATTCGCAAGAAAAGTATAAAGGTGCCTTCCTTCTTGGAAGAATCTTTTGGAAGAAAGATGTTAAAATAATATGATTTAAAAAAAAATAAAAAATGATTAGCATAGAAAAAATTAATGGTCCATTAAAAAAAGGATGTGTTGATTCCAATTCTTGATACTTCAGCCCATCGACTATTTACTGATATGGGTAACAAAAAAAACGATTATCACTAAAAGCATTTACGGAATATGGAATGGATATCTTCTCACAAAAGTAAAACATACAAAATGTTTATCATGTCATCACCATTTTAGTCCAAGAATTTATTACAATAATAATAAAACAGCAGTAACAAGTTTCCTTATTTATAAAAATTATGAATTTTTTACGATTTTACTAAGATTTATTTCTATAAATAATAATATTAACGGATAATTTTTGGAAAGAAAATTTCCGCATTATCTGCATGAATGTGTGACTATTACTATGTAACTGTTAAATTAATCAATCAATAAATAAATAATAAATAATAAATAATAAACTCAATTTATTAAAATTCTATTGAAAGAAAATATTTTTCTCTGAAATAAAAAAAAACTCGAGAGTTAATTTATAATATAATAATAATAATGGCCACTGCTAATAATAATGACGCTGGTTCTAAAGATTGGATTAAAGAAAGAGCTGCTATATGTAAGTGTAAAATTAGATATTTGGTGAAAATTGAACATCTAGCTGGTCAAAGGTTTCCAAACAAAATATAATAATAATTTTAAAATTTATTTTACTCCATCAAATAATTCATAAAATAATATTATTGTATATAAATAAATTTAATCTAAGTTCTTTTCCTTTTTAAAAAAATAATTAATTAAAAAGCTGCCGCCCATCGAAGACAAAAGACTGACCCGTCAGCATCAAAACTTGTTAACCAATTACACAAAGAACGTATTCAAGGAAATGCCGAAGAAACAGGTAAAGTATTATTATTAAAGCATCATTAACTGTGAAAAAAGTGATGGCAGAAGTTAATTGTATTATATACATCGGCGGCGAATTAATTAATTGACTTGTTGATCGATTGGTTACGATTATATAGTTGATGAGGAATATGAAGATCTTGATGCAATTGCTAGTGTGCCACCTCCTGAAGAAATAGTTGTCAAAGGTAATTATTTATTAGCTAATTAGTTAACTTGATTAATTAATTAGCCAATTAATTCACCAATTCGCCAATTGATCAATCAATCGGTAATGGTATTAATAGCATTTTATATGCATATAAAAAATTAATAAAAGTTTTTTTATTGGGTGTTTTTTTGGTTGGGTGAAAAAGTTGCACCAAAAGAAAATACAATCACTACACTTCATGGCAAAGAGACTAGTGAAGATGTTTATCAGTCATTTATGAAATCAGTTTTGGAAGAGGGATTAGCCACAGAATCTTCATTGGAGTTATCATTTGATTTAAAACCTGAAGACATTAAAATAAAAGATCTGTCTGAGGATGAGGAGGTTGAAGAAGAGGACGAAAATGAAAATGAAGGTGACGGTGAGAAAGAAGATGAAAATAACAAATCAATTAAAATTGAAAATAAAAATGAAGATGAAGAGAATGAAGATGAAAATGACGAATCAACTAAGATTGAAAGTAAAAATGAAGATGAAGATGAGAAAGATGAGAAAGAAGATGAAAGTAAAGATGTTGATATTGATGTTGAGATTAATAATGGTTAGTGGAAAATATTATTTAAATTAAAGTATTCACAAACTTTTAAATTTTGTCTCTCTTTACTAATTAAATAAAATTATATTTCACTAAATAATTACATATTCATATTAATCAATCAATAAATAAGAAACAAAACCACTGCCGCCATCATCTAATGATTTATCAGAGATAGAATCTGAAAATAAAGAAATAAATAACAATGATGTTGGTGATCAAAATGATTGAATGAATAAGAAAGAGAATGTAGAGGGAGGGGAGAAATATTGTAAATTTATTATATTATATTATATTATATTTTTGTCAAATATTAATTATACTATTATTATTATTTATTATTTTAGAAAAAGAGAATAAATAAATATTTAAGTCTTTATATATATATATATATAGTATATAGTATATAGTATATAATTTATTATTGAAATATCATCTATCTAAAAATAAAATAATTTATGACAATCATTTGAAATTTTAGATCAAATTTTATTGTATATAACAATAAAATGTTACAAGCTCAAGAAATTTTTATATTTATCTTATCCCAAAAATTTTTTTTTTGCAAAAGATTGTTAGTTTTATTTATTAAGAATTTATTTTTATACATATTTTAAATACATAAATAATTTCCTCATGTTATAAAAACTTTGCCCACATGTATATACATCATGACCAATCTTTGCCCCACCTTTTAAATTTAAATTTATTATATATCCCAAAATTTTTTAATAATATTTGAAAATCTTCTGCCAATTATAAAAGGATCAGCAATTAATGTTTTTAATAATATTTGAAAATCTTCTGCCAATTATAAAAGGATCAGCAATTAATGTTTTTAATAATATTTGAAAATCTTCTGCTAATTATAAAAGGATCAGCAATTACGATCAAATAACAAATCTTTTTTTCTTTTTTAAAAATGGCATCAAAAAGCCTAAAGAAAAGTGGAAAAAGAAATAGCTGTTATTTCTGGATAAGTGTTTTAAGGATGGTAGTGGTGGTTATTGCCACTTGTTGTCACATTAATTATTTATTAAAATAAGGTAATAATAGTTGTTTACAACTCGTCATCATTCTAGTTTGTTTTTTTTTGGTAAAAAGTGATTTTGAATTAACAATAATTGATTCATATATTATTTTTTGTAGCAAAAAACCAGATGGGATGTGGTGTGTTCATCCACGAAAACAAGAAAGAGCAGATGGGATCTGGTTACAAAGATTCATGATCCCATTGAGGCAGCAAAAAGAGAATACAAAAGTCGTTTACCTGATATTATAAGAAAAAAATATTATGTATTGGTAAATGGAAACGGCTCCCTCAATAATCAAAGTAAGCTTTAAGGACAAGCAAGATCTATGAACAATGGTTCATCATGTGTTGTCAAAAAAGTCAAATGAAATGGCAGCTCTGATGGTACCATGTATGCTGCAAAGATCATAGAAGTTAAAGACTAGTGCTGTAAATTATGATGATGGTAGTAATTGCATTTACAGCACATAAAAAGTGGTTGCAATTACCTTTGTGACCACTTTTGCAACCATCCTTTTTCCTTTTTTGGATTATGGCACT